CCAGGGAAGTTTCCATCTCCTTCGCCTCTCCCCAATTCTAGCACACTCTCTGGTTTTCACCTGCTGCTCTGGATTTGCGGCAGAGCACACGTGTGGCTGGGCTCTTGTGAGACTACACCCTCTGAGCATGAAAACTAAGAATGTAGAACTGTGGAGGTCAGTTGAGTTAACGTGGAGAGTGTTTGCCATCAGGAGGAACAGATGCTGCTGAAGTCAGGAAGACATGAGTGTTCACTCCAAGGCCTGCTTCAGAAAGCCTCTTTGTTTTATGATTCTGGGTGCAAGCAATCCTTTTAATTTTGTGTTTTGGATTCCAGCCATAGGAGGCCTTCTTTAATGTAACAGATGGCTGGACACAGGCAAGGCTGGTTCTTACACTCTCCATCAAGCAGCCTTCCCTAGAGAGGCTCTCCCAATTATGTTGCTCTGAAAAAGAGAAGAGAACTTAAAATGGACACATTAAATTTACACTGCGCGTCAAGTAACCCACTGCTTTAAGCATCTGCAAACATTTGGAGGTCAGGAAACCTTTGGGAAATCTGATGAAAGCTAGGGAGTTTTTCTGCAGGAAATTTGTACATAGGTTCATACACAAAATGTACATATTCCTTCCAGACGCTCATGGAGTCTCTGATATCCATCCCCAAAGCTTCAAGTGGTCTGTGGCTTCAGGATTCCTGTGCTTCCAGCGGAGGCAGCTGTCCTTTTACTTTCTTTCTTTTTTTTTTTTTTTAATTCAGTAGGAGTCTCAACTTTTGAGTTGTGAAAATGGGGATCTGTGGATTATTAAGAAAGCATTTCACATCAAGAACACCTGACAAGGCCCGCTCGTCAACCGAAACTACCCGAGTGGACTGGTTGGGAGATTAGAAAAGAAAGACACAGAGACAAAAGCTGGGATCGGGAGGTCCACTGACGGCTGATGGCGAGCAATGGACTCATTTATTTTTTGCACAAAGCTTATATAGTAGCAAGAAGCTGCAAAGAGCAGTAAGCAGCTGCAGGGTGTCTGTTTATAGGGGATAGACATCAGTAAGTTACATCCTTTTATGCACTTCTCTAAGTGTACGGGCAGGTTACATTTTGTTATGCACTTTGCAGAAGCTCCTGCGGCTTCAGCTATTCTTTTCTCTTCTTGGATCCGTGGGGATGGAACGTTCCCTGAACTGTTTGTTCCATAGGCTGTGAGGACCCTGTCAGCTCACAGCCTGCTCCCCACAAACACCCAAATTTTACAGGAAAAAAAATCCTTTCAAATGTTGGATAAAATTACTTTAGTGTATTCTCTGGCTGGCATAAAACCTTGGCTCATTCTGTTAAAAACTAATGTGAAGTTCTTTTGAAAATTGTAACCTGATTTTTTTTTTTTTCTCTCTGGGATTGGATTGTAGGTTAGGTCTTTGCACATCATTTCCATGGGAGTTCACGCTCCTCACAATGTTTCTCAGTTTAGCTCTGGCTCCTATACTATTTCCAGTATTAAGGATTGGGGGTGGGGTGGTCTGGCAATTGAAGTACACAGAATTTTTAGAACTTGGAAAGGCAGCTTTATTGTTTCCAGGACATTGTCTGGAGGAGTCACACAAACTTAGATGTTTCTTACTGAATCCCGCTTGCCATGACTGTCTGAGGAAGTGAGAAGTCTTTGAGGAGGCTACGAAGATCTTCATGATATCGTTTATTCCCTGATCCTTCAATGCTGGGTCACTCCTCCAAACATCATCACTGTCTTTTAGTTCTTCTGGGTGTGCTCTGTCCTTTAAGGAGAACCTTTTGAGCTACAGCAAAGGGTGGAACCGACACATTTATTGTGGATATTGACACCAAAAACAATTTGCCTCAACTACACTATCTTTAAGAGTATAAATTTAAAATATGGACAGACTAAGTTAATTATTTTAGTTCTTCATGTCTCATATTTCCTGGAAATTACCTCCTTTTGAGATCTGGAAAATTCAAGGTGGGAGTAGGTCATGGACTAAACATTTAGGCTGGTTCTTTCCCCCAAATGAATAATTAAAGAAATCTTTGGAAAAATTCAAAGAAAAGGCCCACTTCCCCCCTAAACAATCCAAAAAAACCCCACCTATTTTAGTTTTACATCAGGGTTTCTCAGCCCTGGCCTGTACCCAGTAGATGCCACTAACACTGCCCTCTTGGGTGTAACAACCAAGATCGTCTTCAAACATCAAATATGTACCTTCTCTGGGGGCACAGGCACCCCTGGCTGAGAGGCACAGACCTAAATTATCCAGAAATAGGTTTCTCTACAAGTATAGAAAGTTGTATAGTATTGAGGCCACTTTTATCTGATCTTCTTGATCAAGTGAATGCTAAACTGAAAAAGCAGTTTGTCCATTTTGATGCCCCACTGACTGTTATCTATCTGTTCAGATCATCCAATTGTTTTTAGATCCCACTTGATTGCCCAAAACAGGGACTTCCTCATTCCATTCCTCTGGCCCTGGCAGGCCTGTTCATTTGCTGTTTGATATCTTTTTGACTGTATAGATATTTCGTGATCTGATGATATATCCCCTTGGAGGTCTAGATAATTTCTCAGTCTCTTGGCGTCATCTGTTGTGCTGCTAAAATTTCCATTCTTCCCTTCTATGTATCTTTTCCCAATTAAGACCTAAGCTGAGCCCACCTAGCAGCTTGGAGAGGTGGGAGTCTGGTTGATTTGCTCATGTGGACACACAGTTCAGGAAACAAAACTGTTAGCTTTGAGATTACAAATGTGATTGTTGAAAGGCATCTTCTAAACACAAATTGTTCCTTACATATGTACAGTGACTGCACAACAGCAAAAAGTGTGTTTGGGGAAGCATTTTACTAGCCGTTTGAAATGAGGAGTGTCTCTAGTGTACAAAACATTTAAGCCAAATTGTTATGTCTTATAATGTTCAACGAAGCACTCTGCAAACATCAGTTCTAGAGGAAAAAAAAAAAAGCATCCTCTAAGGCAGGGAGTTGTAAACCCTTGTAGGTTCCAGAAATATGTGCCTTCCAAGGGCTGGGTACTCCTGAATTAACAACAAATAATCAGCGAGTGTGACCAAGAGTTAAAGTACACAGACTTTACTTTCACAACGTTTATGATGTAGTAAAGAGGTTTAAGATGTAGACCTGAGATTGCCAACTGATGGCCAGCTGGCTAAGTTGGGCCCATGGATTTGTCTGGCTTGGTTTGTACAGGGTTGGGTCTCCTGAATGTCTAAGAAGGAGAGAAAAAGAGAGAAGGAATGAAAGAAGTTGCTAAATATATAAATTACAATCCGGATTGCCAGCTGTTTTTGAAAAATTGGAAGACCGGCCAACACTGGGTCCTTATTCCCTCATTTTCCTGTAGTGACAGTTGACTGGTGTGGAACAGCAGTTGTCCCTTTGATCAGAGCAGGCACCCTCTGGTTCCCCACCCTTGCCACTGCACTCCCTTACCAGGCCTGTGTCCACATTTGAGACCACCACCCTAATGCAGACCACTGCAACACTTACTTTGTGTCTTTTCTGTGGAAAGAAACCACCGGAGCCTGGAGCAAAATAGCAGCTGTCCACTTGTGTGTCCAGTCAGATGACCCTGGCTCAGGCTGGGAAAGTGGCAATAGAGTGGTGAGAAATGGTCAGATTGGGATATAGTTTGAAGGCAGTAAGGTTTTGTGATGCATTGGATTAGGTATGAGAGGGAAGATTAAAAAAAACACTCAAATTTTGATTTTTACTCAGATTAATTTATTTACAAAGGAAAATGATAGTTAGATATATAGTTAGGAAAATGATAGGAAAATAATAGAATATTAGGAAACCAATATTGAACTTCTAAAATAAAAATAAAATTATGTAAAAGTTTTTCTTCACTAGTACTTTCCAAAGTTCTTCATTACTACGCCCCTAGATGGTATGCTATCATATTCTGGGAAATGATGACAGTTCGGGGTAATAGGAGGGAAAAAGCATTGAGAAGAGCCCTAGTTAATAAGAAAAGAGAGTTAGGCTCTTGCAGCAGGAGGCAGAATGGAGGCGATATCAGCCTATGGATAATGGCCTCTCTGTACTTGCCCTAGGCCCTAGGGCTTGAGTCCCCACCGGATATCCCGCGATCCCCAGGAGGTGGAGGGGGTGTGTATCTTGAGCTACTGGGGTTGATCTCCCAATACACGGACAGTTCTATTTTGGGGAACTCCAAGGTGGGCACTTGCTACAGTTTCATAGGCCTGCAAGGGTGGGGGATAGGAGAGGCTCAGAGATTTCCATACGGGAAGGGTTTTAGGGCTGCATCTCGTATGTAAGACACGTTAAGAGGTTCAGAAGTTTGTTTTGAAACTACTTCACAGAAAGGGGAATCTCTTTCCGCAGATTTATATTACAAGTCAATAAAAGTAGCAAAGTTGTTTCCGATGATGACTCTATTTACACTTTATATATCACCGAGAAAAATCTCCCAATTGCCCATGTCGAGGACAGTTTTATTTTATTATAATGTGGGTTGATTTGGTTAGTGGAGACGTCTAGTGGCCACTGTGGTGGTGGGCGCTAGCCTACTCTCACTCCTGGGTCCGGCCATCGAGGCGAGAAGCCTCGGGTGATTGGAAACCAGGGTTTGCGGGCGCTGAGCCAAGCACGGAGCTTCCTTCGGCCGCCAGAGCTAGGCGGCCCTGCCCACCTCCCCGCAGCGGTCACTCGGCCGCTTGCGCGCATGCGCCGACCCCAGCGGGAGTCCTTCCCGGCTCCTTCCCTCCCTCATCCGGGTCCTGGGCGAGCGGGCGCCGTGCGCGTGTCCCGTGGCCGAGCTGCTAATAAAGTTGTACTGAGGGGAAGCGCAGCGACGGCGCCGGGAGTGTGCCCAGGCGGCCGGAGAGTGAGTGTGGGGCCCCCGGGAGGGCGGGAGCGGGGTCTGCAGGCTCTGCCCGGACGCGGCTCGCCCTTAAGCCCTAGAGGCCGGACTCGGGCCAAGGCGGGGGCGTTCGGCCGCAGGCGGAGCGGAAACCACCGGGGCCTTCGGGGAGGGATGTAGGCCGTGTCCCGGCCTGTTGGGGTCCGGTCGGGCGGGGATGGGGCGGCCCGCCTGGCTGCGGAGGCCTTTCCTGGGGCCGGGGGCGTCCTAACGCAGGGCCAAGGCTGGTCCTTGTCCCCGCGCCGCCGTAACCAGCCGGACTGTGGAGGGAGGCGTTCGGGACGCCCTCCAGGGGATCCCCGGCCCCGCTTCTGTCCCGAGGAGCGGTTTGTTCTTCCTCATCTCAGCACCACCCTCAGTCCATACCCCCCGGTGCGATCGCCGTGCTCGGCCGGCGCCGCAACCCGGTCGGCTGCACTGCAGAGCTGCCCAATGGCGTGATGAATCCGTGCTGCCGTCGCTTTGTGTTTCAAAGATAAGAATCCACGCTTATCGGTGAGAATTACACGCTGGGCAGTTGTGACCTGCCACTCCGCTCAGCGGGTGGTTAGAGCTGGCGTCTGCCGCTTGCCATGCCCGTGTCCATCGCTGCAGCGATTTCTTCTCCTTGATGGAAGGAGAATGCCAGGCAGTGTCGGTTTGCCTTCATGCCCAGCCCTCCACTGCAATATCAATACCCAAATTCGTTTTCCGGTCTTTCCTCCTCCCCCTCCCTTTTCTCTCTTTTTCCCCTTTTCAGCTGCTGTTGTTACGTGGAGTTTGGAGCCTAAGCTTTGAAAACTCCCATGTGGCGCCGGTCTTAAATCGGAGCATGCTCAGTAGCCAAAAACAGATTTTGGTTGCAAAAAAAGGACTGGGGCGAGGATAGTCGGGTCTTTGGACCTTTGCCCACTTCCTACCCAAATGTTTCAATTCTGGTTTTGATGGCATTGGAGGATGGAGCCGGTAGGCCAACCTGGAGGTGAGGAATGCCCGAACGAACACCCTGGGCCAGATCTCTATCTTGATTGTAGAGACATTGTTTCCTGACCAGCTGGAGGTCTAAGAGAGGAGGGAAAAAAGGCATTCCTGGCCGCTTGTGCGTTGAAATTGGGTGTGGTGCTAAGTATATCTTGTTTACCTTATCTTTCTGTGGAAAAAGTTTTCAAGTCTGGTTGGGTTTGTCACATCCAGCCTGTTGCCTAGCAGTGCCAAAAGTGTCCTTATCTACCAACAAAGACTGGAGAGATAGGTGGAGGTTGTGGCTCGGCCTCATGGAAGTTGAGAGGAAAGTGCTTGAGTTGCTGTTTTAAAAGTTCTTTTAAAAATTCTGTCTTTTTTAAAAAAAACTAGAGTACTTGAATTTCCTTAGAGTATCCAAATTGCCCAGGTTGAATTAGTTTATAGTTTTAATTTGAAAGATGAAAGGCTGAAAACCTTAGTCCTGGTAGGTATAGTAACATTCCAAGTGTTTAAAATTTCTGCTAGATGCCAAGGCTGTAGTGTCTGTTGTGGGGAAAACAATACCTAACACTGCGTAATAGTTTCACGTTTATCGATCCAAATATTGTTATGAAATTAGTTGGTTCCAAATTCAGTAAATCAGGAATTATTTATAGATCTGAACAAATTAGTTTATATTCATTTTTTTACTCCTTTAACTTTTTCCTCTAAAGTGAACCTAGAGATTACAAGAATACAAAACTCATAAGAGAGAAGTTAACAAAATGTAACCTTTATAGAAGTTGTACATATTATGTTTGGATTTTTAAATTTAACTTTTGTTTATAATTGTTAGTATGATTGTCTATAGCGTCCTCCTTCCCTTCCCTCTACATTGCTGCACCCTCAGCCAGTGTGCTTTTTCCTTTTCACACAGCTGCTGTTATGGCATAAACTATACCCATTTATCTTTGTTACAAAAATCCATTCATCAGTTCTGCCTCCATTTATTTCAGACTGTAGCTGAAATAGGCAGTAAAAGCTAGATTAACCTTCATGACTGACTTTCCTTTTAGCCTTTAAATGCGTCCATATGCTATGATCTAGTTAAAAGTAGGAAGAGAGCAGTGAACTGGAAAAGAAAAGAATAAAATGCATTTGTAGATTCTGTGCAGTTTGTTTGGTATTATCAACTTGTCTGGTTCACTGTGGTAGGCGCCAGAGAAATGGGTAGATTGATATGTGTTGCATTTCTTTCCCCTCTGGCAAAGTCAGCTATTAATTTCAGTGGGAGACAGTGGCAAAATGTTGTTACTAATGAGGTTTGAATCAGATTGTTGTTTACTGCTGGTTATGTAACATGTTGCTGGGAGTATTATTAAAAGTTGCTTTCTGTTGCAAGGTAGAGGCAAGTAAATTCTGCTTACCCTCTCCACTGGGTTTTAATTCTTGGCTGAACCTGAAGGCACATTAGACTATAACCGTAATTATACCTGGGCAGCCTGTCTGTTTCCTGTTTTCATCATGAACCCAACCATTATGATTTGCAGTGATGATCTTTTTTGTCCTTTGCGTTAAACAGAGGCAATACATTTTCTCTCTCTAGCGAAAACAGATTTGTAACTTCGTCAAATCTAACTTACAGGCTGCTTCGTGTTCTGAAGAGTAGGCAGTGAAATACCAGGTTTTTTTATTTCTTAGTTACTTAAATTGGAATACTATTTAAAAAATCTATTTCACACATATTGCTTAATTCTGTTTTATGTAAATTTTAATGTTAGCAGTAGTCTGTGGAGTCTTTGAATTAAGAAAGCCCTTTTTGTTTATGACTTATCAGTGTTTATTATTACCAGATGTATATGTTGGTTCAGGCAGTGAGCCACACATTTGGGTGAATTTCAGAGCTGACTTGAGTACACTTTAGGATATAGCTGCCTTTATTCCCTTGGTTTATCAGTCTTCCCTGTTCTCTTTTAGAGTCTCTCTCCCTGCCTCCCTCTCTCCCTGCCTCCCTCTCTCCCTCTCTTTCTGTCACAAAAAAGAAGCCAGCTAGTTTATTTCTTCAAATGTCTCAGGCACCTTATAGCCTATGGGTTTGCCAGTCTATTCCTAAGGTCATAGACATTGTCGATTTCCTTTTGTAAGGCACAGTAGCAGCCTCAGGGATGATTCTTATCTCCACCAGGCTGGATATTCTGGACAAAAAGTATCTGGGAGGGTAGGACCCAAGCAGGCTGCACAAAGATAGAGTGCTTTCCCACCAAGGAAGGTAAATGATCCCGGGAAGCCTGTCCATGTCTTTTTTTTTTTTAAAGACTTTTATTGGGGAATTGGAGGGATGGGAACAGCGCTGGGGAATTGGGGGAAGGGGAACAGACAAGTTGCTGTCGTTTTGTTCTTCAGTCTAGTTGTGGAGGACGTTGCTTCACTGGCCCAAGTTGGCACCATCATTACGCTCTTCCCGGGCAAGGCAGATCAGTCGCCGGCTTCTAGACGACCGCTCACAGCAGCTGCTGGCCGCTCACGCTGGCTGCTGGCTACATACGGTAGCCCATGGCAACCCACTGCCACAGGGGCTGCAGCCTACGCCGTCGCCGGCGACTCAGGGCAGCCCAGCTCCAGGTTGAGCTGTTGTTTAGCATCTTAGCTGTGAAGGGCAGTGTCACTGGCCCTCATATGTGGGATCCGAACCGGGGCCCTCTGGCGTCCCAAGCCAGTTCTTAACCATCGCACCACTCGGCTGGCCCTGTCCGTGTCTTTTTATACCTTGTTTTTCCACTTCCAAAGTTAATGGAATAATAGTTATTGAAATATTTAGTGCTGGATTATATAGTTCATTGCCATTGTTGAGAACTCTGAATCTGAGAGGTATGTTTACTAGTTGGAGTGTTAAGATATAAAATTCTTTTTGAAGAATTACTAAAGGCTAGATTGTTAGGATCAATTAATTTTCCAGTCTCATAGATTGTTTTCATATTCTAATAGCTTTTATCAGTTTATAACTTTGAAAAGATGGGGTAATTACAGAGTTATTAGGTTTTTCATAAATAATCTGCTAGTTTTGGACTTTTAAGTTTTGACATATTTTTGCTTTGGGCAGCTAGGTTGGGAGATTTTGGGCCCTACTGTATGTAGTAGAGAGGTGGTTTCAGAGACTTTTCTTCTTGCTTTTTACAGTATTCCTGACTTGACTGTGATACATTTTAGAAGAAAGAATTCTCTATTAGACACTTCTGTGTGTGTACTACTAAAATTATAATTCACTTTTGGGAGGTAGTTGTTAAAGTACATTTTGTAAACAGGTTTTGCTCTTGAATTCTGTGGTATACCAGTCTCTCCCTATAATGTATATATAATTTACAGACCGATATACTCTATGGAAATTTGAAATGGTTTGATCTGTTGTGAGATTTTAACTGGGTTTTTTCTTTTTGATTTCCAACATGTTGTTTTTGGTATTACTGAAAATAATAGTGAGAAAAAACTGATGTCACTTTCCCACCTTTCTCTGAGCATAGCAAATGGAGTCCTGGGAAGAGTCTACACGTTTCAGATTTAACTATGATCTCAGAATATGGCTGGTGCTTTCAAGGCAAGTTTTGTTTTGTTCTATTTTGTTTTCATGATGTGTTAGGATCTGTCTAGCATCTATCTGGTAGGTTGTATAACATGAGATCTAGTTATTCTGGTTTGTGTGTTCCCAGGGAATGGGAGCATTGCAGAAATATTTCAAAGCTAGTCTTCTCTTTTCTTTACCCTTATTCACATCTTTCTGCTCCGTTAAGTGAGTGCCTACTTAACTTGTTGGCCATTTCCAGTTTTTGGAGTTGAAAGTGTAAATTAAGTGACCGCTGACTGGAGCTGAAAAGATACCCAGAGCCATATTTGCTCCCTTTTCTCCTAAGTAGGTGACTTGAACTCTGGAGTGCACATGCGAGTAGGTATCTGGGGACCCACTTCATAAAGCATTGGAATATACGTGTACACAAGTTAGCACTTTGCACTCCAGAGACTATTTTGTGATGAAATGATTTGGCATCTGCCCTTGACGATTTTCTACTGTAAAGAAAGGCACTGTAAAGATTGACCAGCTCTGTCTTTATTCCTGTGCCTACAAGCCTATACAAGCATACTGGAATACATCTGGTAGCAATGTAGGAAATGGTGCAGGCTCTGTGGGGGTGAGTGATACATCTTGATCAGGCTCTGCTTAATTAGAGGACTTAGAGGAGCAGGTGAAGTTTAAAGAGTGATTAAGAACTGGGAAACAAAAGTCTGGATGTGGGAGATTAAAAAAATTGTAGACTTGTGTGGGCACAAAGAGACTAGGCAAAAAGATTGTGCTGTGAGAAGTGTCAGGGAGCATGAATTCAGCTCCTGCATGGCTTCAAATGGTCCTCATTCACTGAGAACTTCTGATGTGTTTGGAATTGGGGAGCTGCATTTGGGAAAAATGGTGATTTAAGTGTTTCTCTAGGAAAATGATTTTGGTACTCATGTGATTGTATCCCCTCTTCCTTATAGATATTCCCATAAAGAATGGGATTTATGAATCTAGTAGAGCTTGTGTGTAA